CACTTAGGAGGGTGCCCGACAGCAGGGACCCTGGGCGCGCCCCGCAAGAAAAGTGACCAAGTGCCGCCCTCGGCGCCTTCGTCGCGCTTCCCCGCCTGCCTCGCCTGTCTCCCCGCACCCTCCTGGGTCTGGTCCTTCTCTGTCCGCGGGAAGATGCTCTTCAGTCCCCTCAAGCTCTATCCCGGGACGTGCCGCCTGAACCTGAACCCCGAGGCCCTTGCTGAACTGCCGGGGGCCTGGCGCATACCCTGCCCGGCCCCCTCCTCTGTAGCGGGGACTTGCTCCCCACGCGCCCCCCACAGAATCGCTTGGAAAGACCTTGGTCCCAGGCCATGTGTGTGCTCTGAAAAGCGATGTGGTGCTTCTTTCTGGGTCCCAGGGTTTCCTGTTTGTTTTGGGGGTGGGGGTGGGGGTGTTTTTCTCCCCGCGTTTTGAGAGTCTCCCTGTGAAAGTTTCCCATTTCCAGCTCCCGATGAAGCACCTCCTGCTCCTGCAAATGATGGAAAAGGGGGCCGTGTAGAGGCTTCAGCTTAGAGAGGAATCTGCATCTGGAGGAGGCGCTAACTCACCCTTCTCCCGGCCCAGAGGTCTGTGTGGGTCTGAGGGTGAATTTCTAGTACAGAATCCACAGGTCCAGTCCACTTCACATCAACAATGCACACCCGCGGTCATGTCCTTACCCTTTCTTCCAAGTCTGAAATTACTTTACACCTCCATTAAATTGCTCCAAATATCCAAGTGCACGTTCTAGGATTTAAATAAAACTTCCATATTTGAAATGATAATGAAATAACATTTAAATCGAAGGGAAATGTCATTGTCTTGAGAAAATAAAGCTCTGTTGTCTCCATGCTAATTAGCAGTCTCAGAGCACATTGTGAGCCCTGGGACCACAGCAGTATGTGGTTCCGCCCAGGAGATAGGCAACTGTAAGAGTTGTGATATTTATTAGAGTCATTTAGAGATTTTTACAAAATGTATTTGAATACCTTTGAAAGTAGCCAGCTGGTGTGGTTGAAAAATGTTTTTATAGGTCTTTCTAATACATGAGAATTGAAACATGATTTCCCCCCTCTTCTCCCGCTGGCTCATTTAAAATTTCTGCTAATCCTCTGAGCCCAAAATTCTTTTGCAATATAAGTATCTTTTTGTTCCATTCACAGGACATCACAGTTTGACTAGATCTGCAATGGCTTAAGGCTGAAGGGCGTTAGGAAGCAGCTGTCTAATTAAAAATATATAACCCTATGCAATTCTTTGTAAATATTTCCAGGAACTGAAGCTTCTTGTTACAAAATGAAATCTTTATCACATTGGATGTTTATCTATAGAGAGATTTAGACGGGCTTGTTATATAGTATGTGTGCTGTTTGTTGTGATTTTAACTCTGTGTTACAAAAGGAGAATTCTTTTACGAGTCTCTAAAGCTGCACGGCAATGAAGAAATGCAGTTATGTCTCCATGACAGGAACCATCTGGAGTCAAATGAAAAACTAAATAACTTATCTGGATATATTGTCCATAGGATATTAAACATCCAAGCGATGGGTTGAATTTTAAAAGATTTTTGGCTGGATTTTGATTGTCTAATAGAGTTGGTGGGGCTTCAGAATGCGGGGTCTTGAGTATCTGTTGGAATAAAATATGGCCTGAAAACTCCACCTTAAACACTTACTGTTTGGGCGAATATATGTAGTCATTTAAAGTCATTGAGCCCTGGCTGGTGTTGCTCAGTGGATAGAGCATCGGCCTGCAGACTGAAAGGTCCCGGGTTGGATTCCGGTCAAGGGCTCATGCCTAGGTTGCAGGCTGGATCCCCAGCAGGGGGCGTGCAGGAGGCAGCCAATCAATGATTCTCTCTCATCATTGATGTTTCTCTCTCTCTCTCCCTCTCCTTTCGTCTCTGAAATCAATATATATATATAAATCATTGATTTGTTAAAACCACATTGGGAAACATCATGTACTCAACATTTCATTGATAGTTAGGAGAGCCACATAGGCATGATGCCTGGCATACAGATAAGAGCTGGAAGATGGAAATGTTTACATATTTTCCGATAAATGTCCAAACACCCCAAGGTGGAAATTGTAGTTTTAGTCCAGATACTTGTTTTAAATAGGTTGAGAAAAAAGTGTTAGCAGGGGAAATAAATCAATTAAAAGTAATAAAGTGTGTCCATGTGTTTATATTTCAGAAGTTATGGCTTTCCCCAAAACTAGAATTTTGAAGGAATGCTTTAGTTGTTTCCAATAAATGTACATTTAAACTTGTGCCTAAATTATAAATTTTTTTATTTCTTACATATTTTATAAGACAGGATGTTTTTACCTTAATGTTGGCAAAATAGATTACTACACACCATTCAAACAAAGCATCCTATTTTTGGTTGATTCTAGGAAAGAACAATAGACCTTCGGATCGATTTTTAAGCATATAAATTTAGACTTCATTGTTTATTTCTATTTATCACAGTATGGAATTCCTTCATAGTTGATTCTTTTTTAAAAATATAAATTTTATTGATTTTTTACAGAGAGGAAGGGAGAGGGATAGAGAGTTAGATACATTGATGAGAGAGAAGCATCGGTCAACTGCCTCCTGCACACCCCCCTACTGGGGATGTGCCTGCAACTAAGGTACATGCCTTGTCTGGAATTGAACCCGCACCCTTCAGTCCGCAGGCCGACGCTCTATCCACTGAGCCACACCAGTGAGGGCCATAGTTGGTTCTTTAATTGTGTGTATTTACAGTGTTTGTATTGGGAGCAGGTGCCTTGAATCATCACTGTTAACAATTGCACTTTCTCATCTGATGGCTCCGATAGAAGCTCCATTGGTTTTGTAATGTGCATATGTGTACATCCTAAGCCAACAATTTTCTTTTTGCAGGTTACTCACTGGCGATAAAAGAGTAACATAAGGGAAAGCCTTGGTCTGCCCATTCTCACCCTATGAGATTTCTTTCTTTAAAGAGGAAATGGTGAAAATCAAGTCAGTGGTGTGAGAAACATCAAGTGTCATGAACCAAAATGCAAATATTTGAAAAGGAAAATGAGTCTTTCTAAAATTTACATCAGTGCCTTGATGGGTCTGAAGCAGTTCATGCCAGACTTAGAGACCATTTAAATCCCTTTGGAAAAACTGGGCCCAATGTATTCAGTTAATAATCATACAGTCTCGTGATTTGACTTATGTAGTACTTAGTGGCTGTGTATGGTATAAGATTAATATAGACTCATTTTTTTCAAGTTCAAAGCAAATTCAATAAAGCACTAGAAAAAGATAACTGGTTTTTAAAAAATTGTGTTTAAGGTTTTCATAATGTGTGAGTCATTTTTAGGCCATTTTTTTAAAAACTAGGAAAATCTCTTCTGATTATATTTTATGGCAAACATGGACAAGTAAATGAAGATTGCAGTTTTTTATATATGGGATTATTATCGAAGAGCAGTTGGATATCTAAAGCGCTTTTTTATTGCTATTTTTAGATGCCCCCCCGCCCCGAGTCTCCCCCGCTATCTCTATTTATGCTTGCTGGTGTCATTCCAGGCTTGCAACGACGACTTCCAGTGTGTTGGGAACACGTGCTGTGCTGTTAGCATCTGGATTCGGGGCCTAAGGCTTTGCACACCCATGGGCAGAGCAGGAGACAGCTGCCACCCACGGTCCCGTAAAGTGAGTATGTGTACTTGTATTCACAGTGGTTCTCTCCTGTTGCAGTGCCCTCACCTTGAGCAAGCCTGTGTGACATGCAGCCCAGGGCATGGAAGTTAGAGAAGATGACAGTGGAAACCACCTGCTCCGCCCGCTCCCCTTCCGTTGGAAAGAATTGTGTCCTCTAACTCAGTCTAGCGATCAGTTTCCTGTCATAGTTCTCATGACATTAGAGATACTTCATAAAAATAATTTCAAACACATGAATTTGTTTAAAATCATTTAGGAATACACACACACACACACACACACACACACACACGCGCGCACACACTGAGTGGCCAGATTATATGACCACCTGACGTTTGTAGGCACATTAGCTATAATTTCGCGCTGAAGTTGCTAGAGGGCCAGATCATTATAAATAGGGAAGCAGGTTGTTTACCATGACAGTAGAAGTGATGTTTTTCTGAAGATGTGGGTAAACAACGCGATTTAACAGCCTTTGAACGTGGGTTATATTTGAACATGAGTGGCCAGATTATTATGACCACCCCATCAGTATTTCGTTGGGCCACCTTTTGCTTTCAATACTGCGTCGATTTTTCTTGGCATTGACTCCACGAGATGTTGAAAGGTAATGCCAGGAATCTGACACCGTGCCTGATGAATAGCACTGTCCAGTTCTGTGAGATTTGATGGTTGTGGAACCAGCTGCCTGATGGCTCTTTTAACTTCGTCCCACAAATGCTCAATTGGATTGAGATCTGGTGATTGTGGGGGCCACCTAAGCAAGGTAAAGTCTCCCTCATGTTCTTGAAACCACTCCTGCACAATACAAGCACTGTGGCATGGTGCATTGTCTTGTTGGAAGAAGCCATCTCCATTGGGATACGCCATCAACATGATAGGATGAACTTGATCAGCAACGATACTTAGGTATGTTGTGCTATTCAGACGTTTATAATGGTCTGGCCCTCTAGCAACTTCAGCGTGAAATTATAGCTAATTTGCCTACAAATGTCAGGTGGTCATAATAATCTGG